GAGATTAAGTGGGCTGTGTATCATTGGGACGGACTAATTTTGCGATGTGGGACATTGCGGTACGTCACAAGGTCTCTGAAACATATACAGTGTTATTTCTCAATTAAAATATTCCTTCAGCTTCATGTTAATTGCAGTATGCATCTCCAACAAAACATATTCAAAAGAACCTCCTTCAGTCAGTCTCTTTCGCATCTTCTCTTTGTCGATGTGACAACTTTTTTACGTTTTTCAGTTTTTATTAAATAATCTTAAAAATAAATCTTAAATCTACTGAATTTATAAATTAGATGGAAACATACCCATCATCTGTTCAGATATCACAGTGTCTATCTTCTGACACACAGAATAAAGTCACTGTTCCACCGGGGACGTCTGGTCTTTGCAGTTCCAGTAATCTCCACGTCTGTTCTCAGCCTCAACCTCAGCCTGACTGCCATTAGACTCTGAAAGTCCAGAGGATTGAGAGAGGTGAGGGGTGAGTGGAGAGAGAGAAAGAGAGACTGAAAGTAGAAATCTCTTTATAATGGCTGAGACTCCCTCTCACCTCTTTTCTCCCACTTTCACATTCCCTGTCTGCTATTTTACATTGTCAACCTCCCCCCTTTGTTCTCCCTTTTTTCCAATTTGTCCCCCAGTTTTTCCTGATTTCTTCCTTTATCCCCGTCTGGATTCAAACACTTTCCTCTTTCTTCCACTCTTTCTCTCTCTGACCGCTCCCTGTCTCCCTCTGTAGCTCCCCCTCTCTCGGGTATGATTATTGTATCTCTGCTTTCCGCTCGGCATGCTGGGAATGAAAATGGATCCCTCGTCCCATCTTTCTCCACAGTGTGTATGTGTGTGTGTCCATGCACTACAGGGAGTGGGTGGTGGGTGAAAGAGATAAATGCCAGAGGAAAGTGTGTTGATGTGGAACTATTTTTCTGTGTGTGTGTGTGTGTGTGTGTGTGTCTTTGATAGATGTGGTGGAAGTGTGTGCTGATGGAATCAGTAAATAGTTAATGAACAGGGAGGAGAACAGTGTCGAAGCCCCGGGAGATGATATTGATGGAGACATTCTGAACACATGGCAACAACAATACAGGACAATAAAAATAATCACCATCAGCTCCATATGTTCACGTGGTTCTATTTAAAAACCCAGCAGGCCTGCAAGCTGAAGGCACGCCTTCTGTTTCAGTTGTGTTTTTACTCGTCAATACTTTTATTTTAATCAGTCCTGCTGCCTGTTTATGTCAGGTCTCATCTTGAGCTAGCAGTGAGGAGTTAGCAGTGAGGCGCTGGCGGAGGCTATGTCTGTGGCGTCCCCCAGGGGATTGATTTTAATAACATCAGTGATCTCCTGATTGTTCATTTAGCATAACTAGGTCAAAGTTTATTCTTGTCCAACACTTTACATTAAGGACTGAATTCATGTGGGGATGCTAACTGTAAGAATGTTGATGTGCTAACCTGATAAACAGCCCAATGTTCCTCCTGGAGTTGCGATCGTATTGGACGATTCTGCAGTTACATTCAAAGCCAAGTTCAGAAACTCTGGAAACAGTGGCGGCTTCAGAGATTTTCTGTTGCAGGTGCTATGGGGATGCTCAACACTTAAGAGAAGGTGCTTTGAATTTTGGGGCGT